AGTTATTTTGCTGAGAGGTTCTGGTTCTGATAAGGTTGGCATAATTGGGACTTTTGGTATGTTATTATCATGATTTTTCAATTTGTTGATTAAGATGTCTAGTTTTTTTTTCATGTTGTTGACTTTATGTAGGACTTGATTTAGATTTGTAGTAAACTTGTCTACATCTTGGCATAACTTTTGAATTTTTTGCTCTTGATTATCTATCTTAGTTTGAATATTTTTATGGATTTGTTTACTATTATTGAGGATAGGCTTGTCGAAATTTTCAGATGTTTCACTTTGATCCTCTTTATTATGGATTATTTGTTTAGGAGTATCGAGTTTATTTAGAAGGGCTTTTTTGAAGTTTAGTATTGGAGAAGAGATGATTAGTTTGCGATATATGATATGATAATTTTCATAGAGCTTATTTAGTTGGTTGTAGAACTATGCTTTTTTGTTTTTAGCAGTGCATTGTTTGGTGATATGTACGTGAGAGAAGCAGATATTGCATATTTTTATGTCTATTTGTTCCCAGTGGAGTTATGAGCTTCGTAGTACTAATTTTCTTAACATAGCTGATGCCATGTCAGTTTCTGATTCAAAGCTAATTATGGCAAGTCTTTGTCTATTATATTTAACTGGAGATCTTGGAATGAAGCATGTTTTTGCATTGATTTGTTGGAGAGTATCATCTAATTCATAGGCTGTGGTATCATAAGGTAGATTAACTAACTTGACTGAGAAGGTATCTCTTTGCTAGATAGTCTCGTGTTGATTCAGAAGTGGTAAAAGATACACTCTATCTGTTTCCAGTAGTACTGATCATTCTTCAATTGCTGTTTTGGCCTGTTCTTCAGTAGAATATTGGACAGTTATATAGGCCTATTTATTGACTATATGCTGTTTGATGTCTTGAATTTCTCCAAATTGAGACATTACTGTTTGGATCTGCTTGATTGTTGTGCCCAGAGAAACATCTCTCATTGCTATTACCGTGTTTGTATTCACCTTGGTTGATGATGTTGGATGATTATTTGTTAGAAAGTTATTATTGAAGGAGATATGATTAGCCTGGTCTTGCGATTTGGCTGATGAGAATTCTGCACATATATATTTATTTCCATTTAGGGTAACTGATTTTGCTTTGAGGAAGTCATGTAATTTTGCGAGTTTTTCATTAACATACGTGATATTATCTTTTGAAGCTTGATTAGAAAGGAGATTTTCAGCTATCCAGTTGCGGTATCTTTTAGTACTGGTAATCACTTCCCACTCTTGTTCTTCGATATTTGGGTGAAGTAGTTCATTATCTTCTGTATTATTGTGTAATATTATAATTTCGTTTTCAGTATGACTGTGCTCAGATGGAGTATTTCCATATCTGGTTGTTTTTTTTTGTTATTTTGGTCATATGCTGATGATAGTTGCTTGTCTTGTGATGTCTGATTTTTTGTTAGTGGTTGATCATTATCCTTATTGGTTGACAAAAATGAGATGGTGTTCTTTTTTATTCATTTGACATGTGAAATATGTGAATCAGATGGTCTGTCATATGGATTTTTGCGTGTGCTAGGCTTGGTATTTTCAGAAATTGTGTCTGAAGAATTGCTGGTTGATAGAACAGGGGGAACAGCTGCCGACTTATTTGCCTGTGGAGGAGATTGCAAGCCAAGAGCGTTTTTAAGATATTCAATAGAAGATGTTGGAGTTGAAGGAGTTTTTTTATTTTTTTCAAGATTTTTCAAGTTATTTTGTTCTTTTGTGTTGGACATTATGTTATATATATGTATTTTGAGAACTTCAAAAAATTAAGAAAATAAAAAAAGAAAATAGATGAATTGTATTTTTGTGTTTTATTGTTTTTAGTATTTTTGTAATTTTTATTCTTATAAAGGTGAAATAAAAAGGAAAAGGCTAAAATGAAAAAGAATTGTAGTTACAGTTGAGAGTGATAGATTGTATTTTGCTTGGATGAGAAGTGATATATTATAGTTGTAAGATGTTAATAGAAATTTTTCGCTTTGGACTGCTTGAACTTCATCTAGTCGAAAAATTGACAGGGAAGAGATGCAAAAAAAAATTTTATTATTATTATTATTATTATTATTATTATTATTATTATTATTATTATGATTATTATTATTATGATTATTATGATTATTATGATTATTATGATTATTATGATTATTATGATTATTATGATTATTATGATTATTATGATTATTATTATTATTATTATGATTATTATGATTATTATTATTATTATTATGATTATTATGATTATGATTATTATTATTATTATTATTATTATTATTATTATTATTATTATTATTATTATTATTATTATAATTATTATTTCTTCTGCTTTTACATTCATTTGCTAAATGATCAAATCTTACATAATTATCATATCTAACTAAGTTAATCCTATTATTAAAACAATTATTAAATCTATTAGAAGTTGACAAGCTTTCTAGAAACAATTATATCAATTTGTTCTGCTAATTTTCCAATGAGTCACAGAGATCAGTATCCGATATTGTCATTCCGGTGAAAAAAAACTAAATTTTCCAGAAACATGAAAATACAAGATGACAATTAAAGGAAGCAGGGTGTGATTACTGATCATGAGTCACACGTAGTGGTTTTCGTTCTGTCTGTCACACAGGTTAAAAGAATAAAGCCCGAATGATATCGATATATTATTATGGAGCTTTTTTACATTGTAAAATCTTTGATCGATAAACATTCTTTTACGCCTCTATTGTAACTCAGATGATCATTTACCGAATGCTTGCTTTTTCACACTAAAATGTAAATCTTATTCTCTTGAGAAATCAAAAACTTAGGTTCGCTTTTATCTGTGATTGAATAATTCAATACTCTGATTCTTATTCTTTTGAATAATCGAATCTCATTGAAAAATTGATTTCTCTCTAGACGCGAAATAGTACCCGGATTACTTGATTGGGTAACTGTAGTTTTTCCTGATCCTTCAGTCGTCTTGGTTATTGTAGTTCCTCCTGTTGTTGATGATTCTCGATTATTTTATTGGATAACTGTAGTTTCTATTGAGTTTGGAATTTTAATAGTTACTTCCGAATCTCTTGGTTTTCGAGTTGTAGATACCTTCGGATTATTTGGGCTTGGAGGTGTAGGTACTTCCGGATCCCGGGATGTTATTCGTGTCTTTACGGTATATAAAACCGGATCAACCGATATGCGCAATTTTACTTCGTGATCATATTAAAGTATCAATTCCCGGATTTTGGGTAAACCGGTACAATCTCTAGGTACAAATGTTATAATGTATTCTAAATTACACGATAATTACATTTGATTTCCGGATGACAGGCATATTAATGTATAATTTATACTTCTATGATATATTAAATTGTGTAAATAGGTTCACTTTTAAGAAGCCGAGTATTCGTTTGCAATCTTTGCAATTGTACCTTAATCAATTTTTGCAAAATACGCGAAAAATTTTCTTTCCCGTAAAAACCGATATAATGATAAAATGTTGGCGTGCCATTAACTTCCAAAACATATAGTTTGCCGTCGTTGCTTGTTTCAATTATATCAACAGCAGCATAAGACATACCGATGGCTCTAATGCTTCTCGATGCTAAATCTAACAATTGTATGTTGAGTTTCGAGTCTTCGGAAATCTCTGGAGTCGATCCTTGGTCGAGGTTATGTTTCCAGGTAAGAAAGTATTTCTCGTTTTCCTTAACCACGTAATCGAGACTTGCCTTCTTTTTGTTCAAAAAGTCAAAAATGATCTTATTACGCAATTCCTTGTCTTTGATTTTCATAATTATTAATTCCAAGAGCGAGGATTTTCCATCGCCTACTAGGTAAAGTTTATTCTTCTTGTAAATACATAATTGCTCTCCATTTAATATGAGCACGCGATATTCATTTTTAATATCAATATAAGGAGACATCACAATTCCTTCCTCCATTTCGTTTATTAAAAGTTTTTCTAGCTCGATTTCATCTTGTACATGAAACACTCCTTTTCCACCACTGCCTTCTCTTTTTTTAACGACGACATCCATATTCCATTCTTTAGCTTGTTGGATGAACTCGCCCAGATCACTAAAACCTTCCGATATTTTAAATAATTTGTGTTCTATAGATGGAACATTTGCAAATTTCAAGACTTGTGATGTGATATCTTTATTCTTGCATATATCGACAGCAGTTGTGTTTTCGATTCCAAGATCAAAGTTTATCATAAAGATTTTATTGTCGATAACGGACAAATAATCATAACTATAAAATTTCGCGGAAATTTCCAAAGATTTGCATGCCTCATTGATGCATTGTTTTTTTAAACTGGCTTTTTCCTCATAAGTCGTAATTATTTGTTTCGTTTCTCTTTTATCTTCTGTTGGTGCGTTTTTAACCGTATCCAAAATTGCTTCTGTAATAACGCGGTTTTTGATAAGATGATTTATGAGTTTCTTGAAAAGTTGAATTAGCTCCTCTTGACTACAGTAACTCAATAATTCGCCAAGTGCTGCTGTATTCGCTTCAAGAATTACATAATCCATCGTGTCCTTTTCAAGTTTTTCGCATTTAGCCACATCAACACAGCCAAAATTCATGTTCAATACTTGAAATGCATTTCTGGCAATATCGAGAATCTTATCGGGGATATTATTTCTTTCAATTACCGTAATTTCTGAACCCCAACGTTGATTATGTTTCCAGGTGATATTGATTTCCGCACCCCCGGGAAGAACGTCACCAAAACACAATTTCCGAGCAACCAACATTTCTTCCACGTCCTTCCATATTTCTTCATAAGCTATTCCTTCACGAGCTTGTGAGAATTTATAATGTACTAATTCTTTGATAGTTTTTTTACCATCACCTTTAATTATCATGGGTACCTTTTTTAGGCACATTAGCACTTCTAATTTATCTTCTGGACGATAAGCAAGAACGCGATATTCCTCTCGAATCTCTATAAAATTAGTGGCAATAAATGAAGTTTCAAATCCTAGGCTTTTCAATGCATGATCAATTTGCATTTTATTTTCCACTTTAAAAACTTTAAATCCTCCGTCACCATTAGTAGGCTTAAGGACGAGCTTTTTTTCTTTTTCAATAAGGTCATATAATTCCTTAGTTATCAATTTTCTGTGACCGATTAATTCTCGCCCATAACCGATGAAAAATTTCATGTTCAAGGGCATATTATAAACTTTTGTTTCTTCTTTTTCATTTAGCAGTAACCACGTAAGATACTTGTCTTGCACAAGGGTTCTTACACTCGAAGCGTTCAAGCCCAAGTCTAAGCCAAGGAAATATACATTTTTTCCCTCATTTGAAGATATTACTCGCAGATTTGTATTCGAAAATCGTTTAAAGTGGAAATTAGGCGGGAGCGCTTTTCTTAATGAGATATCAAATAATTCATCGTGGGGAATGCCCCGCGGTGTTTTTACGAATGTCTTCATGTTTATAGCATTGCTTTAAGCAAAGAAAGATTATCAAGTTAATAGATTATCTCTTCTAGACAAACAGATGAAATTGTCATACTTATGGAAAGAAAAAATTTTTTTAACAAATGGATATAATTTTCCGATTGATGTTGAAATTTGTTTATACATAATTGAAATAATTTAAATTTATCATCCTTTCTTTCGAAGATTATGTATATTGAAGGGTTATTTACGAAATCGAAGGGCTTGATATAATTTTGCATGCATAAGTACGATTAGTTATTTTTCTGACAGGTCAAATCCGTACGCCCCAAGCAGCTTCTCAGATGTGTTGCCAGACATTGTAATCGACTTTTTTTTTGGTTGATCAGAGGTATTTGGACAACTATATCCTTTAGTGTGCTGATATATATCATCTTCTTTTCTACATCCTTTTATGCCACAATAAGTTTTGGAACTTGGGGGTGCAAATGAGCCTCGATTATTTCCAATTGAATCGATATTATCTCAATACAATTCACGCTCGTTACAGTAAGGCTTCACTATAGCTTATATCGAGAGAATAATATATAATTTTATGAGAAAATTCTTTGTTCTAACGAGAGGTTTACTATATCGAGAGAGAGTTGTAATAAAAAAATTCTGTCCAAGTACAGTATTCACGATTTCTTGATTGTAAATATTTCAAATAAAGGTCAAAGGTTTGATATCATATGCTTTCTCATCAATGTCCTTTTTAGAATTCCTTCCCGATTTTCGTCATGCTTTTCAAAAAAAAAGATGAATCTACTCAATCTGCGAAGTCGCGAACGTCATTTACGTGTGCAAATCAATTCTGTAATAAACATCGATCGTTTGTTTTTTAGCGGTAATGTTGACACAAATGGAATAAAACATATTTAAAAAAAATTTCCATGATGTGCAAATCCGGGGGACCTTATTCAACGTCCATTCAGAATAGCATATGAATTTGTTGGTTCCAGCAGAGCTGACGAGTTACTCCTCCGCCATCTTTTGCCTTTTCCCAACGTCCCTCTACTGCACTTACTTCACGAGGATTTTAGATTCTATCCGAATGAGCCCAGAGTTATTTCGTCAAGGTTGTGTGGTTATGATATCATGCATTCTTTCCAACGTGGTAGTATTATTGATGATTTACCTACTTGTAAGCAAAAAAAGCATCAGAATTATTCATTTGAATAGCATAAGTAAAATTATCTTTCCCTCTGAGTATGAATCAGATCTCGGTTAGTATAGTGGTTAGTATCCCCGCCTGTCACGCGGGAGACCGGGGTTCAATTCCCCGACCGAGAGTTTGTTATTTTTATTCCTAAATTTCTGCCTACATTCTTTAACTGAAATTTAATTTTTAAATTTTCAAAATAAATTACGATTATGTTATTATACTTATGTTATTACACTTATGATATTATATATAAAAATAAAAAAGCTGAACATATAAAAAAATCGTCTCTCATTATTTAAACGTCGAAGAATAATACTCCCACGAAACAACATTTCTAGTGCATTCCTTATCAAAGAAATCATCAGGAAGATTATCGTCATCAATCCACCCTTCTTTAAACAAATTCTTAGGAAAGGTTTCCTTGATGTAGCAGTCTATACCTTCAATGCGTAACGAGTACTCGCGCCACCAGATAGTGTCTGATCGGCCGATTGAAAGTAATTGGAAATCGGGATGTTTGTTAAAGTATCTTTTTATTAATTGTCGAATTAATTATATATTCATAGCGTTTATTGAGAGGTTATATGCTATTAGTCCGTTTATTACCTGAATATTTGTGCAATCCCAATCTCATGCTCATTCAGAACCTCGTCAATTTTCTCATCGTATATCAACAAGTTGCTTAACGCATTACATACCACTTTACCCTTACAACACAGATCTACTTCGCGATCCACGCGTCCCAGTAATGGTCGTTTTAGTTGATGCTGTTGAATTAATTGACTAACACCAGAACTGAAATTGGAACTAATGCTCTGATAAATGTTTACACTGCTCGCATTGTTCATTTTTAGTTTCTTTCTCGTCTCTTCCGGGTGTATGCCTTTTTTTTGTGTTTGGTCTTCAAGGTTATTATTAGAAGAAACACCAACTTTCTTGTTTCTTATTATTTTTATCATTACCTTATCATTGAACCAAGCGCTAAGACAATATAAACAAAATGAATTTCGGAACAAAGCTAAATACGATTTAAAAAACTAATTGCGCATGTCTCTAAAATCAGAGATATTTCTCTACCTTAAAATACGCTGCAAGTTACCGTCAGCAGTCAAGCAAACACGCTCAATGCTTGAAAACTCGGTTGGAAGTTGAAGCTCTGTCGTGCAGAACGAAGTTTTTTCGCCATATTTGTTGTCGGAACTACCGTTTTCTTCCATTTTATTGACTTTCATTTCTGTAATTTGAGTAGTAGTAGTAGTAGTAGTAGTAGTAGTAGTAGTAGTAGTAGTAGTAGTAGTAGTAGTAGTAGTAGTAGTAGTAG